AAAAAAAAAAAAAAAAAAAAATTAACATCCCACTATATAATAGTCACATTACTGATGAACATAGACATTTCTACTATTAGAGAGAAACCCTGTCCCTGCCCTATATGGCTTGGCCCTATAAGAGTGAGAAGCAGAATAGAGAGGAGAAAGCAAAGAGTCATAATTAGGAGTACTAAGTTCAGTCCCATGGCAGTAAACGGGCAGTCACATCCTTCAATGCTTTAAATACTCCTGATATGTAAGAAAAAGAACAGTTATGCTCCTTCTTGTTATGAAGACACAAAATAACACTGATGAGGTGCTAGAAGGTGAACAAGTAAAGTCCAATGCTAAACTTATACTAATAATTTATTATAGGAAACAACAAATGATAAAGCTTACCTAATAGCACAAATATATAATAGTTATTTTTATATGTGGCCAACATGTGCTAGGCCTATGAGGCCCCAGAGAACTTCAATATCCATACACTGAAGAAAAGGAACAATGCTTATCGAAATAACATTACCTTATTTGTGTAGTATTTTACACTTTTCAAATTTTGCCTATTATTTCACTTGCACAATTCCCAATATAATGTGAATACATGATACATAAAAAGAGCATCAGCAAATGATCACCTCAAAATTACAGACCTGATACAGCAGTTATAATACTGAAAAACTGGAGGTACATGTAACACACAATTCCATCAACTTAAAATTGTGTTTCTACTTCTGAATTCCACGCTAGGCCTTAGAAAAAATAGAAACAAGGTAAAACATACCAACTTACTCTACAGGAAAACAGACCCTAAAGCTTACTATTGACAAGAGATCATGCTTTTTAGTCACCTGGAAAACTGAAAAACACTGGAATCCAGAGGCTTAAGTTGAAGAGAAGGTGATCTGCTTTCTTCTCCACCAGATGGAAGCACACTAGGGCTATGAATTCCCTCATATCCAATTGTCTTGTTATTCAATCCAGCCATTTCTTGAATAGTAAGGATCTTCGGTGGATTACTGAATACCTAGAAAAGACAGAAATGATTTGTAAAAGTCTCAAATTCAAACCAAATGTCAAAGGATGAGTCAATCCTTTTGATGCTAGGAAAGAATGCTTGGCCAAATAAAAAGAAATCATTTCCTACACAAAACAAACAGTGCACAGTAATGTACACTAGAACACTGAACCCAGGCATACTCAGTTATCAACCTTATCAGCTGGACACCAAACAGACCTCCCCCAACTTACTTACTGGCTCCTAGAATTATCCCATCCCCAATATAAACCCAGGCCCCCAATCACTGTCTAATTCTCTCTTGTGACCCAGTTTAAGGCTGAGTTTTCACTCCTCTGAGATGTGTGATGAGGGTAGGGATGGTGGGAAAATGCACTGCAGCAAGTGTCTGTGCCAGTTTGGGAGAAATACATGCGACAGACTAACATATATTCATAGTATACACACACACACAGACATGCATCTGGATCTTGTGGGAGAGCCAGCTCATGAAAATACTATGAATGATTAAGGTGAGGGAAAATATACGGGAGGTAAACTGAATGAGAACAGGGCAGTCCTAGGAAATCTCCCAATCTCTACATCAGACAATTAAACCAAGGCATTAGGGTATGAAACCTGATTATTCATATGCCTGGGTCTTGGCAGGATATCAGAAGAAGAGTTAGTATTAAATTGCCTCTATCCTCACCAGTCTGACCTACCCTGATTGAGTGGGTGGAAGGTGAATCTAACATGCGACTAGCAGATCTCTCTGGGAAAGAGGGTCAAGAGGGAAATCATGCAGAAAGGCACGGTTGGGAGGGGAAGATATATGGGTGCTATGGTGGCTGTCAGGAAAGGAGTGTCCCTGAAAGGACGGCCAACCTTATTGCACCCTTCAGCGTCCGGAGCTGGGCAACCATGTCCGAGAGACAGTGCTCCTGAAAATTCAAAACAGCAGAGTTTTTATAAAGCCAGCCAGCCTGAAAGCAGGGATCGGGGAGGAGTACAAAGAACCACCCCTTCTTCCCAAGAGGAAGGAGGAAGGGATCACCCCTGAATCCTAGAAGAAAAGAGACAGGAAAAGCAGACACTTAACAGGAGAAGCCTGTATGAGGATGGAACACAACCCTGAATATTCTGTGACATTGAATGTGACATTCATACTGTCCAGATTCAGTACTGAATCCAAATCTGGAAGATAAACGATTTGACTCTTCTATTTTTAGTGATCTAAACATCAGTGACAGCAGAGCAAAGCAAAACCAAAAGATTCAATGAAAAAAGACCATCAAAAGAAATGGTTTGTTATTTCTATGCAGCTTTCAAGATTGCTGCTTCCTTCAACTTATATTCTCTGCTGGGGAAAATGTTGTGTGAGAACGATAAGGGTGTACACTGCCTCTCACCTGGTGGTTCTCATTTTCCATAGGCATCTTCTTCTTCTCCTCAACAGTTTGTTCTCTAGGAGAAGACAAAAATGCTATTTAATTCACTCATGAAACTTCTCAGTTTGAAATGGACTGCCAATTGTAGATTTAGGTTATAATACTCCTTCCAAATAACAAATACTGTGAGCCTCATTGAGTAACTGAGGGTGCCTTTCTGAACTAGGTTACCGAAGTGAGATTTTAAGTACCCCACCAGAGAGAGAGAGAGAGAGAGAAAGAGAGGAGAAAGACTAAATACAATCACTAGTTGAGACATTCAAGAGATGATTAGAAGGAATAAAGAACTGGGAGAGCCAAGAGGTGAAGAGGGAAATTATTTAAGAACCAAAAAAAATTCTCTCTTCTCAAAACTCCCCTGTCCTATAAGGAAGTGTCAGGCTACTCTACCCTATGATAGAGAACACCATCTCATGTATACTCAACTGTTTCTTAGCTTTGCTCAAGCACAGGTCTTCGTCAATGAGTTCGTGTTCCTCTGGAACAGAGCATCTCCTGCAGTATAGAGAAGAAATCATGCTTTGGAAAAAAACTGGGTCCTTCACTTTTACCTTTTAATTTCCTTACAACTATGCAGGTTAACAACTCTCTAACATTATAGAGTTCAGATCCCATTCAAATTGTAAAACCTTGTTATATGTAAAGCATGAGAAAGAAAATTTTAGGAGTAAAAACTGAAAGGAGTACTAGAAAATACATTCAGTGGTCAAAAGTAATCCTAGAAACAAACAAAATTTAACAATAATTGGTAGCTATATTATACCCAGTTTATAAAAGGGCAAAGTGGCCTGCAAGGTTATGTCTCCTGTACTAAAAGATAAAGTATTCACAAATGAGACTTCTAAGTACTCAGTTCCATATTCTAATTACACAATCTCATTTACTCTCATGGAAAGATACTTATGCATATCTAGAGACTATGAGGAAATGTTTGTATTTATAGACCTAATCTTTGTTCATTCAACTTCTTCAATTTTAGACATTTTCCCCTAAAACGCATACCCATTTTAGAACCTTTCTATCAGTATTTATCCTGCAAGAAGAATTTTAAGAAAGTCACAGCTGAATTGAAGCACACTGACTTATTATTATGAACCTATATGACTACTGAGTCAAATTTTTAAAAACTTTTAAATTAAAGTTAATGCCCACAGATATGCCAGACGCTATTTAGATGTTGGATGTTGCAAGGAACATATGGTATATTAGGAAGCCAAACACACAAACAACACTGAATGTACAACAGGTACAGGTACTACTGTAGAACACTGATTCCAAATACGAAGCATATAAAGAACATCATCGACTTGACCTGGAATGTAAAGTCCTTGGTCTCAAAGAGTTTACAACCTCTTGAAGAGCCAAAGCTCTTCAAAGATACATATGTGAAAAACATCCAAAAAGTACAAAACAATATGTGAACAAACGTCAAGAATCAAATACCAGAGGAAAGCAGAGTAAAATAACTGTAAACTATGGTCAACAGGAAAAGCATCACACAAAAACACTTCCTCCCCAGATGGATGTGATTAGGATAGACAAATGGAATGCGGAAAGTCATTGCAAGCAAGAGGAATGACACTATCAAAGTCACGGACATGAGAGTAAGCATGGCATGTGTAGGGAATAGTGAAGCCACAGGCCTGGCTCAAGTACAAAGTTTGTGTTAAGATACCACAAAATGTAAGGCTAGATAGGTAAGGTGGGGTCAGTTAGAACAGGGCCTTGAATGCCAGGCTGAAGGGTGTGAACCTGAGATGAAAAATGTTTTAGATTATAGAGATAAATCAGTAGTTACCTCGAGCATAAGATTGAGTCCTGGAACCTTACCTGTACTTTGGATGGGAATTATAATAACAAAACCATCTTGCAGGTAACATGGATGGATCAATCTTGCCAGGAAGCTTCCTCCATTTAAGACACTCATCACACTGAACCCATGTCTGGTCAGGAACCCTCCTGAATGAAGGAAAATGGAAGGGTGACTGTGTATATCTTAGCTCTGTGCTTTGTCTTAAATTAGAAAGGTGCAGTCTAAAAGAGAAAGAACCTAATTTCATATATGAAATGTGTTGGGAATGTTATCATCTCAGTGCCCAAATGTATATATTTTTAACTTCACAGATAAAATGATAGAACTATAGCAAATATGGATATGAAAAATAGTAACAAGTATTAACATGGTGAGCTACTTTTATGGACGTCAATAATATTTATCCCGTAACCAAAAACCACTTGTACCCCAAAAGCTATTGCAACAAAATTTTTTAAATAATTTTTATCCTGGTAGCATTTGTTCCAAGCAAACAATAGGATAATTTTAACTCTAAAATTTATTAACTTGGAAAAATTCTGTTTATTACTATATTACCAAGAAATAAAACACATAGAATCATTTTGTTTGCTTTTGTCCAATCACGTAACAGGCTTAAAATGCCTTTATGGGAGTCATGGAAGCACTGCCATTAAAACATCTCCCCCATTTCCCTACAGAGACTCCTTATTCCTTTTTGTTTTCCTCTCAAGAAAAACCCTTTGCTTATAATACTTCAATCAAAATTTTACAAGGTTGATATTCCCAAAGTTAATGTTAAAAAGTAATATAAATTTGATTAAATTTCATAACTAGAAATGGTGGCTCCAGACAACAATGGGGCTAAATTAAGATAAAACTCTTCCAGAGTTCAACTCTTAAAATGCATACCCACTCCCATTCCCCTCAGTTACCTACACTTTAGAGTGAATTTGTTTCTCTGAGAAAGAAAGTGGCCCTTATAATGACAGAAGTACTCAGTACCTAAGGTATAAAAGACAGGCTAGAGTGAGAACAAAGAAGGCTGGAGAAAAGACACACAAAGCAAGAAGAGGGACACCTCAGCCAATTTCACTAACATGTAATTTAGCCCAGGATGAAATTTATGCATGTTATATTTACACTGCTCTCATACTAGATATTTCAACAGACTGGTGCGGTTCTTTTACGTCTTAGTTCAATAATTTTCTTAACACCTTAAATTGTGCTTTTTACTTTTCTTGTTGTTGTTGTTGTTTCCTTTTAGACAGGGTCTCACTCTGTCTCCCAGGCTAGAGTGCTGTGGCACAATTTCAGTTCACTACAACCTCTGCCTCCCGGGCTCAAGCAATCCTCCCACCTCAGCCTCCCAGGTAGCTGTGGGACTACAGGCATGCGCCACCACACCCAGCTAATGTTTGTACTTTTGGTAGAGATGGGGTTTCAACATGTTGCCCAGGCTGGTCTTGAACTCCTGAGATCAAGCAATCCACCTGCCTCGGCCTCCCAAAGTGCTGGGATTATAGGTGTGAGCCACCGTGCCCGGCTTTAAAATGTGCTTTTTTCTAAATATAAAAGTAATATAAGCTCAATATTAAAAGCTAGAAAATAGAGAAATATATACAGAAAATAAAAGGCACTCATAATTCTACCACTGAAATACAATGCCCTCTTTTTTTTTTAAACCCTGTTTGAACAAAGAAAGTTTGTGCACATTTTTGGATCTACAGCTTCCTATTTTCTAGCTCCAGGCTGTTCCAGCCTTGCAACCTCTAAGCTGTACGCTCAGGCCTGACCTCTGGTGTCTATGTATTTCTAGACAGCCACTGTCTTAGAGCCAGAGTCAGTAAAAAGCATCTTCAGCAGTAGTGGGAGGGGAGAAGAAAGATGATATTAGCTTTGGTTCTACATGCATATGCACAGGAGAGTCTCTTGCAGGGTGCCAGTATTACTCTCTCGGGGATAGGCACGCTTAGAGGTAGCAACCGTCTGTTTCAGGTTCCATGCAGATCATGGTAGATCCTTCAATCCAGGCAGATAGGAAAGGCTTTTAGCCCATGCTTACAGGAAATAGGTAGCTGAGGCGGCTGTACTACATCCCCCTCATTGCATCCCTCCAGAAGAAAGCAGCAGTTAAGAACTTAGGTTTGGGGGACCTGATTTCGAACCTATATTCAAACCTTAGGTCTACCACTTGCTGCTTGCCTAACCTAAAGCAAGTTACTAAAGTTCTTGGTGTATCAGTCTCTACATCTATAAAGAAGTAACAATAATATCTAACAGATAGGGTTGTTGTGATGATTAAATAAATCACTGCATGTAAAGAACTTAGAACAGTGCCTGACATATAAGTAAGTGTTCAATAATTACCATTATTACAGTTCTGCTTCCAGCACACACACTCTCTAGCAGTATGTGAACATCGGTTTCACTGCATTAATCACTGCTAATTTGAAAGGCAAAAAATGGCATCTCATCTTAGTTTGTACTTCTTTGAAAACTATGGAGGATGGCCATGAGCTGACAACCATCTGATCTTTGACAAACCTGACAAAAACAAGAAATGGAGAAAGGACTCCCTATTTAATAAATGGTGCTGGGAAAACTGGCTAGCCCTATGTAGAAAGCTGAAACTGGATCCCTTCCTTACACCTTACACAAAAATCAATTCAAGATGGATTAAAGACTTAAATGTTAGACCTAAAACCATAAAAACCTTAGAAGAAAACCTAGGCGATACCATCAGGACATAGGCATGGGCAAGGATTTCATGTCTAAAATACCAAAAGCAATCGCAACAAAAGTGAAAATTGACAAATGGGATCTAATTAAACTAAAGAGCTTCTGCACAGCAAAAGAAACTACCATCAGAGTGAACAGGCAACCTACAGAATGGGAG